GGACACCAGCATGACATGACGGGGACACCATCACAACATGACCGGGACACTATCACAACATGACCGGGACACCGTCACATGACCCGGACACAATCAAAACATAACCGGCACACCGCCAAAACATGACCAGGACACCATCAAAACATGACCGGGACACCATCACAACATGACCGGGACACCATCAAAACATGACCGGGACACCATCACATGATCGGGACACCATCACAACATGACCGGGACACCATCACATGACCGGGACACCATCAAAGCACGACCGGGACACCATCACAACATGACTGGGACACAATCAAAACATGACCGCGCCACCATCACATGATCGGGACACCATCAAAACATGACCGGGACACCAGCATCACATGACCCGGACGCCATCAAAACATGACCGGGACACCATCCGCCCACCAGCTCTGACGGTGACCCGACGGCGCCCGTCCGCCTATTAGTTTTGCAAGACCCCATAGCATGGCTATTGGGGAAATAGCAACGCAAATGGACATTCACAATCTTCAGCATCGCCTAAGGTTCCCGAAACACCTCTTTCCAACGGAAGAATGATCAGCAGTTTCATATATCCCCTTGCGCATTCCAGCCTCAAAAAACGCGTATCAGTCTGGTTTTCATGATTCTCTCGAACAACTACCAAAAAATAGATATATATATATATACCCTAAGGATCCTTGGACCCTCCTTAGAAGGGGTTGAACCCTCTATAACAAGGGTGTGTACCCTCAAAACCCTTGTTTTTGAGGGTGCGGATCCTCAGGGTTGAATGACTCTTTGCCTTCTTCACTAAACACTAGCTGAAGCCTGGTGGTTCAGCTTCCAGGGTGTATGTATATATATATATATGTGTGTTTTAGTGGTGTTGGTGTTCATTCTGGCTCCGAACTGGTCCTCTTTACGACCCGACTCCAGGAGACGGGCGAAGTGGTCACCTGGGGCATGGCCGTCGTGTCTGGGCGACGCGGTCGTCGCGTCGGTCGTGACGAACGGAACAAGGGACGCTGACTTGTTACTAGTAGTAACAGGTGCCACGCTAGTAGTAACAGGTGCCACGCTAGTAGTAACAAAAAGCTATTAGAATTAAATTTAAAGTAAATTAATAGCTTCTTGTTACTACTAGTAAGGCACTTGTTACTACTAGCGTGGCACTTTGTTACTACTAGCTTCTTGTTGTAGCTTTTGGGGGACATGACTTTCTGCTGTGTTCCAAGAGTCTGTCTGGAGTCTGTCCGTCCGGTTTTTGTGGGAGAAATGCCGCGAAATGCCTCTCACCATCCACTCTTACGGGTAATGGGAGAAACCACGATCTACCTGCCATGGGCGTTGGAATTAGATGACCCCAGGATGGTTTGGGGACGTTTCCTTTTGCCAGGGTGCCGTTCCAATTTCTCCACATGCTGATACATACCCATGTCTTGACCATCTACATCACTTACCGGTTGCCACAGCCTGGCGCACCTTCGGGGCCTGGCGGTTGCACTGCCGATCTTAGAGGCTGGCCTGCCAGGCTTCCCGTATTAGCTTGGAGGGGGTCCGGAGCCCCTGGTCGTAGCCAGGCGGTTGAGTTGTGAAGGTGTTGTTGATATTCCATCCCTACAAGTCCAAAGGCCAAGTTTAACCTGGTCCTTGACTTCATTGAGTACTGGCTTTGCATGACCGGATCCAGTCAAATGAGGTCTTTGACCTGTAGGGCATCATGAATTGCTTTTAAAACGTTCATCGTCTTCTTCTTGTCATCTCTTGGATGTATCGTGCAAGTTCCGCCCGAAAAGCGCAGAAGACAAGCCCCCTGCTTCAGCCGGCATCAAAGAGTCCCCCGAGCCGATGGGCCCAGCCGGTCTGTCCCCCACCGTCGTTTGCCCGAGTTCTTCGGCCTTTCGACGTGAAACCGCTCCGCTCGGCGCGCCGGGACGTACCTGACGGACGTAGCAACAAAAGGGACGAAGGGCATCGATGTTCTTTGTAGCAACAAATGGTACCCTTTTTATCTGTTCACGAAGAGACCACCGGTCGACCGTTTTTTCCGCTCACGTCAAAAGATGCTGCGTCGCTGCGGGTGCTCTTGCGAGCCACTGCGCTTAGGATGGAGCACATCAAAGCGACGAGCTCAAGGAACAGCTCAAGAGCCACTGGGCCACCCACGTTGTGCGTTGGATCCTGGATCTTCATGGTGTTCTCGGCGGTTTGAGATGAATCCCGGCGACGGTAGGGAACCAAATATATCATGCTTGTTTCCCGGCTTCCTGGACAGCAAAG